ACCTTGGAATTATTGATTGTTTGACACACGTGAGTTAATGCTTGATGTAGACAGTATTGTTTACGAATATAACGCTGACTTTTAGATAAGTATGGCATGGTGAAACGGCTAGAGCACTTCTTTAAGGGCCTGTCCCATGACCGGAATCAAATTTCACCAGTACCCCCTGAGGGTTATGGTGACCGCTTTGTGAAGTTCATCAAGGGCATCACTATGTCTAAAGAGGAAGCGGTACGTTGCCGGGAGTCTCGGCAACTAGGCAGGGCATCTGCTGAGCGTACGCCTTCTGTTGAACGGACAATACAGGCAGCGGAGAAGGAAGCGGCCAAGGATGTATCTTTTACGCACCCTCGGACGTTATCCACAGTTCGGGACCCCACGGACACCAATTCAACGGGTCCAACTTCGACACTACCGATCGTAGACGAGGCCGGCGAGGCCAGTAGCGTTGGTGGACAGAGTCAGCATAGCCGACACGGCGCTCCGCCAGCGTCGGAGAAGAAACTGCCACCACTCCCTCACCAAGACCATCTTCGACCCGACGGGAAGAGAAAGGCGATCGCTTGAAATGTGTATCCCTACTCTCTTTCAGCGAACTATCTTCCCTAACCTCAAGGCAATGAATTCTGGTCGATTCTCATGATACCCTTTTTGCAGCTCAAAATTCCTTCTATATATCCTATTCTTCGCGCCGTGGGTTCACTCTTTGCCTGCGCAACGCATTCTCTCTTCCATCTGCCCCCATCTAATCTCTGGAAGAAACCACTCTTGTGATACTGGCCATGCTACCACGATTGATGTGAGTTTCTTTCGCTCTTGGGCACCCTGTGCCTGTCTTCACAGGACGCCCCCTTTTGCCCATCTAATATTTTATCACCTTCTGTTTTCGAATAACATACCGACTTGGTCCCATTTTTGAGACCGTACTTTCTTTAACCACCAGCATGGCAAGCGGTTTTTGATCATGTGTCCCATCATTTTTCAAACATCTACTTACCCACATCCCTCTCTCTCCTTATCTCTTTGAGACCCTTTCCTTTTTGTCCATGTGTGCGTGCGTATCTATTCTGTCTCCCTCTTTTCTGTGTGAACGACTCAAGTCGCCTCTTTGAGCGTTGGAGTCTGATCCACGCTGACTGGTTCTGGCTTTGTCTCCAGTCTACTCTCGACTGCTTTTATATTCATGTATCATCTTCTCCTTTGTTTGAAGTTAAAGGTCGGTCCTTCGACTCTGCTCTTTCTTTTGTTGATTTTTTTCCTCCCCTTTTTTCTCTGCTTTTCTACCTCGTATGTCGCTGGCTGAACGTTGTCCGCCATTGTTCTAACCGCTTTACTTTTTACTGTCTTTTGTATACATGGATGGGAGAAGCGAATGCGTTTAATCTTTGCATGAGCAGGTCTGAGCGGTTTAATTATGTGTGTTTTCTGTGTTCTTTTTTTGTTGTTAGATTGATAGAAGACGCACAATAGGCGCTGTTCTTAGAGAATTGATACCAATCCGCTTTTGTTTCAAAAAGAAGAGAGTGGGAAGATGTCATTGACCCCGGTTCCGCTATGTGTTTTGTTTCTGTAGAAAATGGTATTCAGGAATGAAAGGAACTACATAAGGCCGTTTTCCCCAGCCGTGATATTCTGATTAGAACCCAGCCATTGATTACTGAAAACGTACTAGATGAATTCGTTCTTCTGTTTTTATAGTAAGCATTCTTCTCGAACTCACACCCCGGTCCATCCAACTCTCCCAAAGTGGGTATAACATTCGTTACTTGAAAAACTTCCATGAAAGAAACGCCATTCTACATGCCAGTTCAGCGCAGCCAGAACCCAGAGGGACAAGTGCAAAACGACAGAAAATAAAGGCAAGAAAAGGAAACGAACAAAAAGCCACCCATTGACGCCAACTACCGAACCGTGAGTGAAAAAATTGGGGCATAAATGTTAGAACGGTGTTGTTAAGACAATTTGTTAGAAGATAAATGAAGGAGGGCAGCCATATAAGGAGGCGGTTGACACGTGGGCCGTCCATGTAGGTATATGATCCCCCCGGGAGATGATGACCGCGAGGGTAAAGATAGGAGAAGCGCAGTAGATGCAAGAATTATTCAGCCTTGCCCTGTGTCACTTTGGCAGCTTGGATGGCGGACATTTTCTGGGTCCAGCCTTGTGTGGGCTGGGGCTTCTTGACGGTGCGAAGATCATCAGTTGAGAACCCAGAGATGCGCATGTTGTAGTTGCGTTCGAGAACAAGTTGAATATCTCGGATCTCGAGGGTAGATGACGGGCGTAGTTTGGCAAGACGGCAGGCGGCGGTGATCACATCGTCAACGAAGTCGTCGGCCATTTGGAGGATGAACTGATGCATGTTAGATGATTCTCATAGAAAAGACGGCTGGGGGTTATTAGTCTTGTTACGAGGGTAAGTGGAACAATATACCTCTTCAGCATCTGGCGTGAGTCCCTCGCCCTCTCCTCCTCCAGTCACCTGGCGAACCAATATGTCAAGCATTTTCTTACTTAGCACTCGCTGGCCTTCGCCTTCAAGGACGTACCCAGGGTGTTTTTGAATCGCAGGCTGACCCATCATACCCATAGCGCCGTGGCTGGGACCACCTGACATGGTTGGCCGCGCTGGTGCCATAGTGACAGGCTCCGGAGGAGGGACATTCAGGGTTTTTGGAATGGCCATATTGATATTTCGTGCAGTGTTATCAGCGGCTCTATTGGGGATGTAGCCCTGAGGATGCGCATGCGAGTTGGTCGCAGGCTGCGACATGTTCTGTTGCTGGTTCATATTATTGTTTGCATTGTTATTGGTGTAGTTTTGAGCAGCCTGAGCCATAGCAGCTTGCTGGGACAAAGGACGTGGGGGCCCTTGTACATTCACTGGCTGAGCAGTAGTAGGCGTGGGCGTAGAGCCATCCAAGTTAGGTACTTGCGTGAATGTGACCTGTGAGCCAGGAGCTCCTGGCTGAGACTGGACTTGCTGTGGCGGTTGTGGATGCTGTTGTGGCTGCGGCTGCGGCTGCGACTGTGACTGCGCTTGGGGAGGAACGACTGGTGGTGCGGCAGGCGCGGCTGGAGTGACAACCGAGGCCGCTTGTGCAACGGGTACTTGACCTTGTTGGGAGACTGACGGTGACATAGCTGTCTGGCCAGCTTGGCTTCGTGCGGCACTTACCGCAGAGGTAATAGTATGAGGGGCAGGCGTTGGGGCCTGTCCAGGATGCATTGACACGGGAGTGTTTGCGGGGCGACCGTCAGAACCAGCAGGGACAGTGGGAGCTGGTGTGACACTGGCACCTTGTGGTTGACCTGTAACATTTTGTACGCCTGCTCTCTGTTGCTGCGCTTTGAAGTTTTCTTGTTGCTCTTTGAACTTGGTCAAGAAGTCACCCCCTTCTCGGTACAGCTTCTCTGCCGCAAGCTGTCGATTTTTGAACTCCTGTAGCTCCTCCTGGGTCATATTTCCGGCAGCCTGGCGCTGGCTAAACTGCTGACGTAGCTCCGCTACACGCGCCCTACCGATTTCTTGCTTTTGCAGCGCAATGCCGTATCGTAACCTGGCCTCCGGAAGCCATGACTGTGCTTGTTCTTGGCTGATATTGGGAGGTAGAGAGAATTGCAGACTGTTGACTTTTTGTTGGATCTGAGGTAGGAGCTGATTGAAAGTTTGAGGGTTGACCGACTGCGGGCGCTGACCAGGCTGACCAGGCTGGCCCTGGAGCTGTTGTTGCTGGAGCTGGCGATTCTGTTGGAATGCCCGCATACCCTTCATCAGACTCTGAGATATCTGGGTAAGCCTCGAATGCGCGTGCTGATATTCTGTGCTCTGAGGATCGCGGTTGTTGAGGACCTCCCAAAAGTTGCGCACCAGCTGGGTGTGTTGACTCTTTTGCTGCTCGGTGAGATGAGGGAGCTTTTGGACCTGATCGGTCCGGATCAGATTTGAGTGCTGGGTAACCATGGGCTGAGCCGCAGGAACCTGTGAGCTGTCCATTCTCTCGACAATAAATTTGACACAGAGCGGGAGCGAACGTCTGGGTAACTATAGATATGAGTGGGCCAAAGGTAGATGTAACCCCGAAAGCAAGGGAATGATGGGTTGAATCCGTGCGACAGTTGAATCGTCAAGCTACGCGTATGAGGCCACGAAGCGGCCGGACAAGAGTTGGCAAAGTTCAAGTCAATTAGCACAAGGGCCGATAGCTGGCAATAAACACCGCAGTCCCCGTCAGGAGGGATAGATTGAACGAACGATTCGGGCTCAGAATAACTGAGGATGGTCGGAGAGTTTGGGAGCCTCAGGTCTTCCACGGCTTGGCAATCAGTGTTGCTCCCAAAGCGGTAATCCGGGGTCCAGTGACTTTGTGTATCACTCTTTTACATTAATTATGTCTTCTTTTTTTAATGTCGGGTCTATAGTGGTTTTTAAAGAATCTTGATTCTTCTTTCGCCATATATTTACTTGTTTCTTTTTTTCTACGACCTCGAACCCAAATTGTAAACCATCCAGAATCAATTATCAAGGACTATGTATGCTCGTTTCCAACAAAAGTGAGTGCGATACCTTTGGATATTAATCTACACGATAACATTGCCTTGTACTACAGCTCTCATGGGAATAGTTGCGCTGGTGAAACCACAAGAATGTCACAGATGGCAACACTAATTCGATAACACGAACCACACAAAACGGCTATTAGCCCGAGCTCTTGATGACTGGTACGTCGGAAACCATTTAGTGAGAACAATATATTACTGATCCAGCAAAGAATGCAGGACTGGCAAATGATCGATTAACCATCATCCTGCTATGGACCACATATCAGGGTCAATAGGTAATGAGAAAGACCCGACAAGCGGCGTATCATAGTGTCTCGTTCGTCTCGCAAGCTTGACGTGAGGCGTACTAGACTGGGCATGACACCGAGAATGATTTGGGAACCTCAGCAGCGGGACAAGCCGACGACATGGTTCCAGTCAGCTTAAAACTGTAACCAGCGGAACAATGGCATGCCCATGGCGGCTGAAGCATGTAAACTTGGGCAAGTCGTTCAAGGTTTTAGTCCGCGGCATATCGGTATGTTTGTCAGACCAAGTATGAGGTCACTAGATCAAAGTGCCGTATCTGGTTGATACTTCATGTGAACTCGAAGTGGCACGAGCCCAAGGGCGAGTTTTGGAGCGTCGGGGTCAAGCAAGGTTCACCGCTGGGACTTGCAGCTCGTGGCAGAACTTTGACAGACATTAACGGTTGGACAAGACTTACGATCTGCACCCCTTGCGTGATATCTGAGCCATAGAAACAGAGTGTAAAGGACTAATCATCCAATCAAGCCACCCAAGTCCCGTTCCATACCACTGACGCGGGCTTCTAAGGTTCTCTTCATTTTCTCTAGCTCTCGTAACTCGTCCATTTCCTGCTCAATATCGGCATCTGTCACGTCGGCTATATCTGGTTGCAGCGTGTCTGAGGATTCATAATCGTCATAGTCGCCTCCGTATGAACGGCTCATCTTCTCCAATTCTGCGGTATTTCTTGCTACACGATCCTCTAAGTCGACAATCGAGTCAGTAATCAGTTGATGGCGGTAACGAAGACTCGCGATCTTTTCTTGTGCCCCTGAGACCGGACTATGAGCAACGTCAGCAAACATGCGCTGCGAGTCAGGAGAGTGAAGCTGTTGCTACTTACTAGACGTTGCAGAGGATTTCTGCGCCTCGGAGAAGCACGTCGACGTTGACCTCGCTACGCCCTCTAGATGAAGTGCCTGCTGATCGTTTGATTTCTTCCATCATATCTGACCCCAAGACTCTTGCAACAGCGGATTGGTTTTTGTTATTCCTGGCTGCATAAATCCGACTGGCCATTGACTCTCCCTCTGTCTCCGATGGAAATACTGTTCCTCGGCGGGTTGACCGACGCTGTGAAGCATTAATTGTCTTCACAGACGGGTCTGTTTGGAAAAGAGCCCGTTCATGGGTCTCGGTATCGCGAATAAGAGCAGTGATGTCGTGGGGGCCTAAGAGAGCGTTTGTGAAGATCCGTGGTGGGGGAAAACTGGAGTGGATCGATTAGCAAGTTGCTGGAATCTTGAAATGGAGGATACTAACGGTAGTTCAGCAATGGCATTTGAGGAGAGCAGAATCTGTTCCAGATGGCTGTCGAGTAAAGACATGGCGGCTGTAAACCTGACGTTACCTCGGCGCTATGCTTGCGTACTTTGGAAGTCGTAGTTAGTAGAAGTAAACATGCCGCCGAGTGCGGTTGCCAAGAGGACCTACCGAAAGCTGCTTTGCTTTCCTGGGTGCCTCAGGCGACGGACATGGACAGTGAGTGGCAACCCAGCAACAGCGGTCGGCCATGAGGAAATTCATTACGGTCTTCCTCGATCATCCGTTACGTGAGAAGCCTCAAGCAAAGCAGAATCATCTGACAACCATTTGATTGCAGATAGTGAGGCAAAGCTCGTACCTTGCGCAGGTGACCTGTTGCTTTTGAGGTCGTTAACTAGTTAAGCTGCTGATACTGACTAAGCCCGGTTGGTTCTCTCGCTGTCCATCATCATCATCTCAAAGCCCAAACCCTTGACATCACATCAACCACCTCATCAACCTTCTTCCCACCCCCAACGATCATCCCCCCCTTCATCATCCTCATTGTTCCACTGTTCTTCTGCCCGCACACCCCTAGATTCTTTATATTCCTCAAGTACTTTTCAGTGTCTTCCCCGACCTGAGTTCCATTTCATTCTCTCCCCCCCCTTCCTCTGTTACCGGTACCGCGGTCCTCACTGCTCAGCTTAGCTTACAGCTGAAAACCGAAAATATGCCGGCCGAGAGGCGTTCCTTGAGATCGAACAGCAAGTCGGATAGCTCTTCATCTGCTAACGGTGAAAAGGCACGCTCGACTTCTCAAAACTCAAGCTCCAATAAAGACAAAGTCGCGCCCACCCGCGCGACTGCCAGTAAGACCAAAAGCACGAGAGCCGCTTCTTCCAACAACACTTCGAACTCCGGCATGGGTGAACAGCGGGATCAGCCGCGCACCAACGGTTCGGAGCCGACGGAGAATGGTTTGAATGGCTCTGAGGATGTTGAGATGGGAGAGGATACGGCAGGTGCGCCTACATCCTCATTCAACGCCAGTAAGGATCGGAAAGGTGACGAGAAGATGACTGTTGTAGTGCCCCCTACCAAGGGTTCGAGGTTATCCGGCGATAAAGGTCAGGACCAGGAAGGTGATGTCGCAATGGAAGGTGCGGAGGGCGATGAGTCCCAGAAGCCCGAGCCAGAGATTGATCCCAGAGCCAAGGCCATCCAAGGTTGGTGTTCCTGTATATCGTCATGCGGTATGATGGGAGCTTGTTAACGACCCTGCGTTCTTTTTAGACATCAAGACCAACTTTACCCTTCTCGAGCGAGCCGTCGCCCATTTCGACCCCAGATTTACCCTCCGTGTCTTGCGGTCGATATCTTCGATGCGCAAGCATATCACATCTGATGTACTGGCAGAGGTCCTTGTAGAGAGCTATCCCCCATCGAGTCCCACCGCATCCTTCTTACTTGAAGCTATCGGCGAAACTGGAGCTTTCGAGAGCGCGGTGGCTAGCTCCAAGATGGACGTCGAATCGGAGAAGACCAAGTCAAGTTCCAAAGAGATTCTGCCAGAGATCGATACTTATCTGTCTATACTCGTTCAGATCTACCTCTACGACAACAAGGAGATCCACCGAGGTGCTAAGTTTTCGACGAGCTTAATCGAGCGTCTGCGAACTATTAACCGCCGCACTCTCGACTCTCTAGCAGCTCGCGTATATTTTTATTACTCCCTCTTCTTTGAGCAGATTGCTCCTCTTCCTCCGTCTCCTGCTGCCACGGTTACGACGATTCGCCAGCCATTGCTTGCAGCTCTCAGGACGGCCGTGCTTCGCAAGGATGTTGACACCCAAGCTACCGTTATGACATTGCTTCTGCGCAACTACTTGTCCACGTCCCATATTTCACAAGCAGATCTGCTTATCTCTCACAACCGTTTCCCACAGTCCGCATCGAACAATCAGATTGCCCGGTACTTGTACTACCTGGGCCGTATCCGTGCTATCCAATTACAGTATACTGATGCTCACGGTCACCTGATCGGCGCTACTCGAAAGTCACCCTCCAGCCACAGTGCGCGTGGGTTCTATCAGGCCTCTCATAAGTTGCTCGTGGTGGTAGAGCTTCTCATGGGAGACATCCCCGACCGTGCGATCTTCCGTCAGCCTGCTCTGGAACGTGCCATGCACCCTTACTTCCTGCTTGTCCAAGCCGTGAGTGTGGGTGACCTGGATGGCTTTTTGAGCATTGTAAATACGCACAGTACGACATTCCGTAAGGATGGTACGTACACCCTTATTCTGCGCTTGAGGCAAAATGTTATTAAGACCGGGATCCGGATGATGTCGCTGTCTTATTCTCGCATCTCCCTGCGGGACATTTGCCTCCGCCTGGGGCTGGACAGTGAGGAATCAGCGGAGTACATCGTTGCTAAGGCGATCCGGGATGGTGTGATCGAGGCCACTCTGGACCATGAGCGAGGATTTATGAAGAGTAAGGAAGTTGGAGATATCTATGCGACCAGAGAACCTGGCGAGGCATTCCACGAACGCATTAGAGCTTGCTTGAGTCTTCACGACGAAAGCGTCAAGGTTAGTTCTATCCTGACTCATTACTCTGTATCTGTCCTTGTAAAATGGATTAGGTAGAACAGCTACTCACATTACGTACTTGATAGGCTATGAGATTTCCCATGAACCAGCACCGCCTAGAACTGAAGAGTGCACAAGAGGCCCGGGAGCGCGAACGGGAACTGGCCAAGGAGATCCAGGATGGTGATATGGATGATGAGGATGCTGGCGCTGATTTCGACGCCATCTAATGGTTACGAAAACTATCACACGGCGATGTAGAATCCTGCCATATGTTGGGACTAGGGCCAGATGGTCAGGGTCTGATGGGTTTCAATTATTGTGTTTTATCTGCAAATCTGTTGTTTCGGGTGTGTAGGAGGGGAATGTGCAGGATTGAGCTTTGCCGGCGTGATGTTCCCTGTCTCCTATATTCTTACCAAACCATTTCTTTTGTGCAATAGGGCACGTTCATTTTGTAGATGTTGTCCGATCAGCTCGTCCATTCTGGTCTTGATGGGCATGTGGGCCTAGATATCATTGGTAATTTCCATCCATATTCTAGACTAAGATTTTCTCTTTTCCCCTTTTTTTTGTTTTTATTTTTTTTTTAATTTTTTTTTTTCTTTTTATTGCCTAGTTCTCTTTCTTTTCTCTTGCTCCGTGGGTACAGAGGGAACTTGTCTGCCATGATGATGGAGAGGCGGATGTAAAGGCCGCTGTTAACATCTGCTTTCAGCGATCCGTTCCGGCCCGAGCCAAACTCCGTCGGCCAGTGAGCAGAGCTCAGCTAAAATCTTCGGCCGGCTGATATTTGCGGACTTCCTTAACTACGCGGTCTCTCACCCCAACAAGCTCCTCCTTCTTCGACTTACGTTCTTTCCAGCTTCCATTCCCCATTTGTATTATAGTTATATTGTCTCCTACTCTACATTTTAATTAACATCTGCCAATTAGCGTCTCTTGAGCATGAAAGCTCGAGCGGTCCCGGCCTCTGGCCTCGTCCTTCCATCACGGGTCACGCCCGCGACATCAATATGCTGGCAATGCCTCCGCAATGACCTTATTTCGATCCAAAGCAGTTCGCAGACGCGAGCATATCATCCTACCCGACGGAAATCCGCTTCTCCGTTTGGCGCCGCCGTCACCGCCGCCCAGACTCTCTTCAAAGGACTCCCAAAAGCCCCTCCAGGGATTTCAGTAGATCCCTTGAGGATCGTGGGTAAGGAGCTCAAATTTTTGACGAAAAATATTCGCCAATTGTTGGGATCAGGCCACCCTACGCTGGATAAGGTGGCCAAATATTACACCAAGAGCGAGGGCAAGCACATGCGTCCGCTTCTGGTGTTGCTGATGTCCCAAGCAACTGCGTTGACTCCCCGGCACGGTCGATGGAGCTCTGCACCGTCCTATACAGTGAACGATCCCATCAGCTCCCCGTCCGTTCTTGCGGATACCAATCCTGATTTAAATCCGCTTGTATCTTCCGCGGAAGCCAAATACGACTTCTCTGGCGACGATAATATCCTGCCCACTCAACGACGACTCGCCGAGATCACAGAACTCATTCATACCGCATCATTATTGCACGACGATGTTATCGACAATGCTGTAACCCGCCGGTCATCCAGCTCTGCTAATCTTCAATTCGGAAACAAGATGGCCGTGTTAGCGGGCGACTTCTTGTTGGGGCGTGCATCCGTTGCTCTGGCACGCCTGAGGGACCCTGAAGTCACCGAGCTGCTGGCCACCGTTATTGCCAATTTAGTGGAGGGAGAATTCATGCAATTGAAAAATACCGCTTCCGACGAAAAGAACCCCGTCTTCACGGATGAAACCATCTCTTACTACCTGCAGAAAACATACCTTAAGACTGCTAGTTTGATAAGTAAATCGTGCCGTGCGGCTGCGCTACTTGGTGATAGCACTCCTCAGGTCGTCGAAGCTGCGTATGCATATGGACGCAACCTGGGACTGGCATTTCAGCTAGTGGATGACATGCTGGATTACACCGTTAGTGATGCTGAGTTAGGCAAGCCGTCAGGGGCGGACTTGGAGCTGGGTCTGGCGACTGCCCCGCTCCTGTTCGCTTGGAAGCAGAATCCTGAGTTGGGACCGCTGGTTGGTCGGAAGTTCAGTCGGGAAGGCGATGTGCAACGGGTATGTGTTCCGAAATCTAATGTGAGGTGTTGGAAGGAAGTGACTGACGACGATTGACCTCTAGGCCCGTGAACTTGTTTATCAAAGTAACGGTGTTGAAAAAACTCGTGTTCTGGCCCAGGAGTATGCTGACAAGGCTAAGGCCGCGATTAGCAGCTTTCCCGACAGTGAAGCCAAGGATGGCCTCCTTCAAATGTGTGAGAAGACGATGAATCGGAGGAAGTAGGGGGCGATGTACACGGCATCGTTCTTTTGCGTCTGACATCGCGGTGGGTGGATGTCTAGGTGTCGTTGCGCCAACTGTATCCTACTTCCGGCATTATAATTGATGTCCTTTGTATCACTACAATTGTTTTTGTACCATTGCCTATTTCTGCCTCTTTTCTCAATACTTGACGCGTCTGTTCGATTCAATGACAGTATATTTAAGTGTCATGGATACTTGGGAGAGGGCCTACTGCTTTTTGAAATGAATGAACTGTATATAGATCTAGATTATATAAGGTAAATTAGGTTGTGGAAACTGAAGGCTCTCTATACATTGTTCCTGCGAAGGTCATAAAAGCTCAACTTAGGGAAAATGGGACACCTGTAAATACTATGATTTTGGTTAATTTTCCCCGTAGGTCATCTGACCAAGTGATACCACGTTTGTTGCATCGGGGTTGCAGGAAGTTTCAAAAATATTACCTTAGTACTAGTAGTGTGGTATTGATTTCTCCGGCGCTAATGCTACTTACTACTAAGTTGTACAGTACCATTACTGCCACTCTATGGAGTATAAACAATACAAATCATGTGTGTATTGTCGTTACCGCAGTCATGTGCTATTTGAAATGAACAAAGATGCAAACAACAACTTCTTGGGAGATGTAGCCGTCTCTTAGGTCAGCAGACCCACCCGCCATTCGGCGTGTTGGTCTGCCTCACCTCAACGCAAATTCCCACTTCAACGCAAAATTTGAA